CATTATTATTACTATTTTACCTTATTTCAATTATTAAACTGTTCTTATCTCAACCCATGAGTTTTCTCACTTTTACCCTTCCGATTCTCTCCCTCATCCCGCCGGGGGGGAGTGAGCGAGTGGCTGTGTGGCGCTCAGTTGCCGGCTAAGGTTAAACCATGACAGTCTCTTACAGGAACATCTGTGTTTCATAATGGTATTGTTAGGTGTAACAGTACCAGAGAGGTCCTAATCCTTTGTCCATGCTTGGATCCGTGCTCCTTCTGGATGTTGAAGGATGCCAATGATTTTGCTGTGGTCTAAAAACGCGTCTGATAGGAAGGTACTTCAAGAAGTGGTAAAGGTTTCCTTTGTGGTTAGCAGATAACTATCTGTTTCTGTGTTCAGTGATTTGGTCTGTTGGCTTCAGATGTTTGGTTCTGTGGTACAGTTGTTCAGGTTCTCTTTGACTTCAGTTGAGTCGTATTTGTGTCCTTGGCATGCATTTTGACACCCATCTCTTGGCTGAGCTCTACAGGACTTTGAAAGGCCAATTATTGTTGTTTGTTTGTTTGTTTTTTCTCCTGGCTGGAAAGCCTTTCCTGATTTGGAAGCTTGATGAAGTGTTGACAAAACTGAGGGGTTCATCTTTCAAGTTCTTGCTTTACCTGTTGTTAAATTAAGACTTCTTGTCCGTACGCAAGAGAAGTGTTTTGTTCTGTAGTGGCTTCCTTCAGTTCAGTCCACAGGGGCAAATTTGCTTTGCATCCTCATCTTAAGTAACTGCCCAAATCGATTTCACCTAACCCAGTTTTCCCTTGATTTTCTATAATCTACCTCTTAACCAGATTTCATATATTCAGAAGACTCTGCATGTTTGTTAGGGTAAGAATGAAACAGTTGGGTTTAGACTCCTGTAACCTTTGGGTGATCAGCAAAAGGGGAATGCCACAGTGCCTAATTGGATCAGGTTGTGTGTCAAAAATAATATAGTTTAGCTCTGGTGATGGTGGCTGAGTGATTTAGAGCTCATTTTACTAGAGTTAAAAACGTTAATGAAATCCCCTCTTAAAATTTTCTATAGCTGAGGTTCCTGTAACATTTTCCTCCAGTGCTGAATTTTCAGTGTGAAGTTTACAGTGTACCCGGAGAGGACAGTTCTGTAAAAGCTTAATTGGAGCTCCCTACCCCTTCTTCTTCTCGAAGGTCGTGGGGACGACTTGCCTCTGTCAGGGTCTGCTGGAAGGAGTTTGTTTTCGGTGTTAAGTTGTTCAGAGGGAGCTGTGACTCATCCGTGCTGCATCTGCAGTGCTTCTCCCTGCCCCTCCACCTGTCAGTTCCACTTTCAGAGCACACTGAGGTTTAGCACCATGAGATGGGTGGTTGAGCACTGCATGCTCCATGCTCTGACAGTCCGTGTTGCAGCACCGCGCTTTTGTAACACCCCAGCGAGCAGGGACGGCAGAAACTTCTCAGTTTCAATAACCCTTAAAAATGGTGTTTGAGAGGCACGAACTCTCATTTGCTGGCAGATAGCTGGCGTTTTTTAAAGTCTCGAAAGGAACTGCCAGTAACACTTCACAACTCCAGCTAGGTTGATGCTGTGCTAATACCAAAACCAGATAATCTTCACCCAGGTTGCTCTCAACTAATTGCATTGTGCCATATTTGTAACACATGACATCATAGCGTATCTTCACAGTTTGTAAGACTCTGTGAGATGCCTTTGCAGTATAATTAAATATGTCTTAACTCTCTTATTTCAGGCTAGAAATCTTCATACAGGAGAACTGGCTGCTGTAAAAATAATCAAGTTAGAGCCTGGTAAGTTTTACATTCTTTTCTGTATTTTTGAATTGCATTTTCATTTTTTCCATATGTTTATTTTCACACAGCTGTGAAGCTCCAGACAAAAGAAGTGTTTGGGTTTTTTTCTAGTTTCAGCGGTTAGATGGCAGGAAGCACTGCAGGATGTACCATTACTTTTGGCTATGTCCTGCTCACTATTTCCTTGTTTGTTCATATCTGCTTTATCGATTGTTGCATAAAAAGATGTTGCAGTTACAGTGTGTTGTTAGTACAAAGAGAAGATCAAGGACAGATGGTAAGTTGTGAGCTCTGAGACAGTAGGGAGCTGGTAGGCTGTGTGAGTTGAAAGGGGGAAGGGACCAGGCAATGACGCTAATGCCCACCAAAGGTGCACTGGGAAAAACGAAGCCCTGTGCTTTTTAATGTGTCGTCTTTTTTCTAACCTGTGCTGAGGGAGGAGGATGGCTCGTACTATCATTTCCCCATGCATTTTGTGCCACTCCTCCTAAAAGCAGGAGACGCAGGAGAAGCTCATTTGCTGCCCAAGAGATTTGCTGAGCTGAAGCCTAATCTGAGTCCTGCATAGAGACTTGAAATCAGAAGTTGTGTCCTGAGTGGCAATGAGGAGAGGAGCTTTTTATCTCCTCAGTCATAACTCAGTCCCACCTGAGGATCTTGTATTTGTTTGAAGAAGTAATCTCTCACTACTTGGTCGCTGGCATACCTTTCAAATCCCTCTTTAGCGTAGTCCTCCTCTGTGTCTCTTTGCCATGTTAGTGTCTCTGTGGTTGTGGTTTGCCTGAACTGCTGTGCTGTGTCTGTTCAGGGTCCTGGCTCTCTGGGACAGCGGCTGAGGGAGGCTCCTCCTGTTAATGTGTGCTTGCCCAGTGCTTGTGGACTGACGCCTGTAGCCTATGCAGCAATTAAGGGACAATTAAGAAAGTAGTAGGATTTATGGAGACACAATGAGATAGCTTCCATGACTGGAGTGCTGCAGGGAATAAATACAGACTCTTTAGGCAGGAAAAATGGAGGAAAATCTGGAAAGACACATGACGTAGGAGAGGCTGGCAGAACTGAGTGTTTTTTACTCTGGGGACAAAAAGGCTGAAGAGGGATCTAACCACTGTCCTCCACGGCGGACTGGCAGAGGAGCTGGAGCCAGACTCTTGTCAGGAGTGCCCAGCGAAGAGGTGAGAGCCAGCCGGCACAGTCTGCACCAAGGGAGAATCCAGCTGGATGTGGGGAAAATTCTTCACGAGGAGGGTGTTTGTGCTCTGGGGCAGGGCCCAGGGAGGTGGTGGGATCTCCATCCTTGAAGATTTTCTGAAGTTGACTGGGCAAGGCCTTGAGCAACATGACCTGACTCTGCGGTTAGCCCTGCTTGGAGCAGAAGGTTGGACCAGAGACCTCTGGAGGTTCCTGCCAACCTGTCTTCTGTGATTCAAGGTTTTGATGACCAGCACTGAAGTGTGTCCAGTCCCTGAACACCAGCATCTATTCATGACTGTTAAAAGTGTGTTAAAAGACTGTAATTTTGATGGGGAGCTCACAGTGTCAGTACATTGCTAGCAAGTGAGGTGGATGTGCTATTTTCCTCTTTCTTGCTTAGGAAAATACATTGGTCTCATTCGCTTGTCGTTGCTTCGTTCTGTTCAGTCACTTGGGTTGAGAGGCATCATGGGTTCTTAAACACAAAGGGTTTGCTAACGTCTGTAGGTCCTTGATAAGCAGAAAGGCTGCCCTCTCTTCTCCCAGTCTCTCCAAATGTGTGTCCCTGAGGAGCTGAGTCCTGACAGATGGCTCTGCCCATCCTGCTGTTGTATTTTGTAGGTCAGCTTTCCATTAAATCTGGGCTAGCAGAACTTTTCAAATTCTATGGTGCTTACCCAAGACATCTGACCAGCTCCTCTCCCGTTGAGGTCTCTATGACCAGTGGTATAGATAGTGATCGGAGAGTCAGTCTTAGAAACCAAATGTTATAAAATTTTTATTTTAGCCATATGAATAAAGATTCAGAGAAGACTGTTTTTAAATAGCAGTAAGTATGATCATTTTTCATAAAAGTTTAGTATTGTCCAGCTGACTTCTAGGCCAGCTAAATTTTTCCAACATGTCTGTTACCCTTGAATAATAATTTTCAAACCTTGACAGGAGGATCAATGCTTAATGCGTGTGCCTCACCCCGTATTTCTTGGTTGGGAAATCCTAGATCAAAACTTTGAGGGAAGAGTGATAATGTCTTTACAATTGGGGTTTTTTTGTCTTCCAAAAAATCCTTTATGTTTAAGATAACAATCTTGCATAGAATCTCTCCATGTTTGTTAAGATAACAATCTTGCATAGAATCTCTCAAATTATTTTTTTTTTTTTTTTTTTGCTATTTCAGCCATTTTGAAATGGTCAAGCAACTATGCATGAATTTGGGTTAACTCACTAAAGTAGTTTTTACCAAAATAAAAATGGGGTGCGGGGGAAAAGGGCTGGGAACGTTTCTAAAATGGAGTACTCTGATGGCTTCACCCCACCCCTTGTCTTCTTCCTCTCGAGCTAGGTTATCAGGGAGACTGAAGTGCTGGTTATAGAGTGGGAGGGAAATGCAGCGGGAGCCCCCATCTATCACGTGGTTAGAGAATATAGGGGAAGAGGAGTTCAGGTCCATCTTTGTCTTATTTACAATGAAACCTGGCAGTTGTGTCTCCCTCCTCACAGGATGTTGCTTTCCCTGCTGACCTGTAAGGCATTCCAAGGTGGTTTTAAGGATTTCTGCTGAAACTTTTCATATACTTTTTGCTTTTAGTATAAATTAAACGTGAATGGATTTAGACAGCACATGAGAGCGACTCTGTTGCCTGGTGTTCAGGGTGATGGCTAGTCTCTTTTGTAAAGTGATCATGGAAAAATTAATTTGGGGTTTCCCACGTCCAAGAAAAGTATGTTATCCTCTGGACTGCTTGAAGTAACTAGCAATAGGACAAGAGGAAATGGCCTCAAGTTGCGCCAGGGGAGGTTTAGATTGGATGTAAGGAAAAATTTCTTTACTGAAAGAGTGGTTAAACATTGGAACAGGCTGCCCAGGGCAGTGGTGGAGTCCCCATCCCTGGAGGTATTTAAAAGACGAGTAGATGCGGCACTTAGGGACATGGTTTAGTGGGCATGGTGGTGTTGGGTTGACGGTTGGACTCGATGATCTTAGAGGTCTTTTCCAACCTCAATGATTCTATGATTCTATGTAAGATTTCCCATGAGCCTAGCTGTTCATTTCCAAGTGATTTTTTTTTTTTTTAAACAGTTAAAAGTTCCTGAAATCTGAACATTTCTTTCAGTTGGAAAAATTTGAAAAATTCCAGTGAATAAACGAAAAAAAAGGCTCAGCTTGATTCTCCAGCTTTTCTTTTCCTACTTTCTTGAAGTTTCCACTGAAGTGCACCAGCACAGGTGAACAAGCAAAGAGCAGCCAGGCTGTGCTGGTGTTACCGCTCTCATCTTCTAGAGTCAGCAAGGTCTTCTGCAAATCCAGCTTCATGCACGCAACACAGTTCAGATGTCAGTGGCTGTGGCTCAGTCCCTATTACATAAATGTCTTGAATTTCTGAACCTGCCTGCTCACACCAGAATTAATGACTGTATGACCTAGAGAGTGGTGGTCAGTGGGTGAAACCTCAGGCATGGCCTTAACTCCCACCAGCATGACCTCTGCAAGCCATTTCGACTCCTTCAGCGGTCCTTTCAATCCTCAGCTGTTTGATCTCGTTAGGTGGTAACCTCTTTGGAGCAGAACTGCCTATTGCCCTGTGGTTATTTGATGCGGTGCACAGCGTGGGTTTTCCTCTCGTTTGGGGATCGCTTTTGCGAACTGAAAGGCAGTACACAGCAATGGGCAGGATAGTTCTCTTGGCCCTGCATGCTTCATCCCATCCCCATGCTACTGCATCCCTTGTACTGGGGTGTGTATTTAGGTGAAAGCAGATGAGGGGACTGAGCTGGCAGCGGGTTTGGAGGCAGAGGGTGCAGCGAACGGATGGCAGGTTCCAAGCAACAAGGAAAGTGGTTTTCTCTGCAAGATCTGTGAAACTCCTCGTTGTATTAAGTTGTGTTTACATAGGTGCAAAAAGCAACTGTACAAATTCATGTGAGAGAAAAATACATTAAAGACTATTAAATACAAAGATCCCATCTATGACTGAGAGGTTTTTCTGAGCCATAAATCTCTGGAGGTGGAGAGGGTGTTTGGGGGAAGCATCCCTGTGTGGTCTGTTTTTAAATACTTCCTTGGCATCCTCTGGAGACGGGATGCAGGACTGAAGGGCCCCGTACCTGACTCAGTGCAGGGTTAATTTTTAATTCTGGTTCGTTCTGCGATCCACTTCACTGTGCAGCCAAAGAGATGTTTTTGAAGGCTGAAGGTAGAAGCAGCGTGGGGAGGCTCAGGGGAGAAGCTAAAACCCCACTGCCTTTGGGTGACTGTGACTACTAACCTTTCCTTAGCAAACCGGGGCTGGTTTTATGTACGTGGATTGCAGCGATAAGACTAATTAGGCAATGTTAAATGCAGTGGAAACCACAGCAGGGATCCCTCAGCCCCTGCTCAGCAGCACGTGAAATGCTGTGGCCAGTGTTTGGGGCAGTGGTGCTGGGGAGAGTGAACCGCTGTTGGGGTTGTCTCCCAGCAGGTCTGCGATGGGGCAGAGCAATGCTTTAATGACAGAAAAAGGACAGTATTAACCTATTGCTAAAGTAATGAGAGGCTTCCTCGAGCATTCATGTCGCTGCACCTGATCCAAATGAAGTAGGTCCGTTTTTATTGTGGATTTGAAGAACTGCTTTGAAAACTGAGCTGAAGCAGAGGCTGAATCCTCTGCCATTAGAGCTGAGGGCAGAGCAGGAACTGTCGGAGGCCGAGCAGCCCCTACCTTTGCTTGGTTCTGCCTTAAAAACTACAGTGAAAAGTGCAAGACTCTGGCCCAAAGTCACCACTATTGAGAACCCTATTTTAATTAGACTGATGACCATGT